TTATCGAGACAGATGCGTCTAACGTTGGCTATGGAGGGATTTTAAAACAAGTGAATCCCAACAATAAGAGTGAATACCTGATAAGATTTCACTCTGGTAAATGGACCGAAGCCCAGAAGAAATATGCTACTGTGGCTCATGAAATGTTAACAATTGTTAAATGTGTTCTAAAATTTCAAGACGACTTGTATAACCAAAAGTTTTTGATAAAAACTGATGCTCAATCTGTTAAATATATGTTTGACAAAGATTTTAAGCACGATGCTTCTAAACTAATATTTGCTAGATGGCAGGCTCAGCTAGCGCCTTTCGATTTTGAAATACAATACAAAAATGGAATTGATAATTCCCTTCCGGATTTCCTATCCCGGGAATATTTAGATTAAGTATGAGTTATTATACCATGACTTTAGGTGATAAAGTATTAATCACTATTCTTAAAGTGATTAATTTAAACAGAGACTTAAAGGGTCTCATACTTGATAGAATTATGGCTGACATTATTAAAGATATTGAAGAGGAATGCTCTAGTCTTAAAGCTATTACTAATATTCTTCAAGAATTTGAAAATGAATTCCCCAGCCAGGATTATATCAGCAATAGAATTCTGATATCTTTTGTAATTACTAATGACTTGCTATTTATGCAGAATGGACCCTTCATGGGCCACCAGGGGCAGAGGTAGGGGAAGATCTTCCCCTAGTAAGTCTTATTCTCAAGGATCATCATACGGATCCTCATCAAATTCTCCAGTAATACAAAGAGGAAAAAGGAGTTTGATAAACTCCAAAATACCTCATACAGGTGAATCATCAGGTCATTCTATACATCTGGATGATATTCCAGAAGATAGTCCTTTATATGGACATCTGCAAGCTTATTTGGCATCCAAAAAGCAAAGTGATATTTTTGCTTCAATTGCTAAAGAAGAAGACAACGATGATATCAAGTCATACGAAAAATTACCAAAGAAAGAAATGATATTTCTCCTTGAAAATTCTGAGATTCAGAGAAAAAATGAACCATGGAAGATATTCCAGAGATACCTGATTAACGAATTATACTACCCGGGTGAATCATATAAAACCCGCACTTATTATGAAACTAGTCTAACCAGTACAAGTAGTGCAGAATTCCAGCACTTTTCAGGTTATAGCACAAATGAGAACGTTTATAACTTCTCCAAAATCATTATCAAACAGATTATATCTGTTGAAGAATGAGGAATTTCTACAATGAAAGAAAGGCAGATCAGCCTTAACAAATCAGCCATGAACTTTACATATTGGGATTATATCCAGGCGTTCGACAGAGTTTTTTATTATAATAACGAACGACATAAACACACTTGGTTTATTAAGGTGTGTGCAAAGATTTTTGCAAACCCTATTCCTAACTGGTTCTTAATTGGTGGTCATACCACGGTCCCACAATTAAAATATTGCCTGAACCATTTCTTAAATTATACAAAGAATGGGCAAAAATTTCTCCAGTTCTAACAGAATTATATCACGCAGATCATATCAGCTACCTCGATAAAATAGATCAAATTTATTTCTTTATTGAATTCTCGATCCCTTCGGTTCATAAATGGACTCCTGAATTGGGTTTCACAGAAGAACAAATCCCTTGCTTATACAGGGTATTCTACAATAATTTCTGGGATAAATTAATGAAGAAGGATCCAAAAACATATACATTATATGGACAGGAGTTATTGGATTCCGTTAAAACACAAATCCAAATATATTCAACGACCCCTCAAAAGAAGATGATAGAGGATAACACAGTTAAACATATTGCTCGAAGGATCTCAATTCAAGAAGGAGATAAAACTGATTTAATAAATCAATACTTGGAAGAAGTAAAAAGAAACTTGCTTCAGACACTAGATCAGTGCGAAAAGTCAGACACATCAATGCGAAGTGAAACAAGTGGTGATGATATCGTAGAAGATTCACAACCAACACAACCAGAGATGATACTATCTGATAAAGATATAGAAAAGGTGGAAGATTTCCTCCAACAAATGCAAAATCTGGACAAGAAAAAGACTTGACAGCTTACCAGCCGCCAGGACTCACTCAACAGTAGATTCACTGTTTATCCACAGTAGAAACACTGTTCAACAACAGTAGAAACACTGTGTAGGGACTCAGATGTGGGACCCAATTTACTGTTTTAGATTCTTTTTTTTTTCTCTTTATATAGAAGACTTCTTGCAGAAGTCGGAACCCTCTCTCTCTCTAAACCTTCTCCATTGTAAATCCTTAGTTTATTTTTGTAACTGAGTTGAAGTAAATAAAGTTTGAAGTTCAACCTTCATCTTCAGGGCCTTGCGTCCCGGCCCTGAAGTATGCTCATATAGTTGAACTAACTATATGAAGATGATATAGTTATAAAAGGATATACTTAGTTATAAAAGGATATATGAGCAACCTTCAACCTTCATATAGTTGTAAATAAAAGGATATATGAGCATACTTAGCAACTTCAGCGGGCTTTAATGTCACAGCTGGCTAGACGTAGCCACTAAGGCAAAGCCAATAAGAGTAGTACCAGAGTCGACTGTACCACCATCTTGGAACCAAGCTAAGAAACTATATTAAAATTTCTTTATATTTTGAAAGAGTCTGGATTCTTCATGGTTAATATGCAAGAGAAATTAGTTTTTCAACATAGATATGAATCCGTTTAGCCGGACATAGTCACGGCTGGGGACAGAAACTAAGTATATAAAATACTATATAAAGAAATAAAATAAATACCTTTAAGGCCGGGACGCAAGGCCCTGAAGATGAAGGTTGAACTTCAAACTTTATTTACTTCAACTCAGTTACAAAAATAAACTAAGGATTTACAATGGAGAAGGTTTAGAAAGGGTTCCGACTTCTGCTTCTTCAAATGAAGAAGTCTTCTATATAAAGAGAAAAAAAAAGAATCTAAAACAGTAAATTGGGTCCCACATCTGGGTCCCTACACAGTTTTTCTACTGTTGTTGAACAGTGTTTCTACTGTGGATAAACAGTGAATCTACTGTTGAGTGGGTCCTGGCGGCTGGTAAGCTGTCAAGTCTTTTTCTTGTCCAGATTTTGCATTTGTTGGAGGAAATCTTCCACCTTTTCTATATCTTTATCAGATAGTATCATCTCTGGTTGTGTTGGTTGTGAATCTTCTACGATATCATCGCCACTTGTTTCACTTCGCATTGATGTGTCTGACTTTTCGCACTGATCTAGTGTCTGAAGCAAGTTTCTTTTTACTTCTTCCAAGTATTGATTTATTAAATCAGTTTTATCTCCTTCTTGAATTGAGATCCTTCGAGCAATATGTTTAACTGTGCTATCCTCTATCATCTTCTTTTGAGGGGTCGTTGAATATATTTGGATTTGTGTTTTAACGGAATCCAATAACTCCTGTCCATATAATGTATTTGTTTTTGGATCCTTCTTCATTAATTTATCTCAGAAATTATTGTAGAATACCCTGTATAAGCAAGGGATTTGTTCTTCTGTGAAACCCAATTCAGGAGTCCATTTATGAATCCAAGGGATCGAGAATTCAATAAAGAAATAAATTTGATCTATTTTATCGAGGTAGCTGATATGATCTGCGTGATATAATTCTGTTAGAACTGGAGAAATTTTTGCTCATTCTTTGTATAATTTAAGAAATGGTTCAGGTAATATTTTAATTGTGGGACCGTGGTATGACCACCAATTTAAGAACCAGTTAGGAATAGGGTTTGCAAAAATCTTTGCACACACCTTAATAAACCAAGTGTGTTTATGTCGTTCGTTATTATAATAAAGAACCCTGTCGAACGCCTGGATATAATCCCAATATGTAAAGTTCATGGCTGATTTGTTAAGNCAGTTACAAAAATAAACTAAGGATTTACAATGGAGAAGGTTTAGAAAGGGTTCCGACTTCTGCTTCTTCAAATGAAGAAGTCTTCTATATAAAGAGAAAAAAAAAGAATCTAAAACAGTAAATTGGGTCCCACATCTGGGTCCCTACACAGTTTTTCTACTGTTGTTGAACAGTGTTTCTACTGTGGATAAACAGTGAATCTACTGTTGAGTGGGTCCTGGCGGCTGGTAAGCTGTCAAGTCTTTTTCTTGTCCAGATTTTGCATTTGTTGGAGGAAATCTTCCACCTTNCAGGTATCTCTGGAATATCTTCCATGGTTCATTTTTTCTCAGAATTTTCAAGGAGAAATATCATTTTTTTCTTTGGTAATTTTTCGTATGACTTGATATCATCGTTGTCTTCTTCTTTAGCAATTGAAGCAAAAATATCACTTTGCTTTTTGGATGCCAAATAAGCTTGCAGATGTCCATATAAAGGACTATCTTCTGGAATATCATCCAGATGTATAGAATGACCTGATGATTCACCTGTACGAGGTATTTTGGAGTTTATCAAACTCCTTTTTCCTCTTTGTATTACTGGAGAATTTGATGAGGATCCGTATGACTCCTTGAGAATAAGACTTATAATGTGTATTTCAACTTATAAATTAATTATTATATGTATTTTCACAATTGCCAGTGAAGCGTGCGCTTCGCTTTTGAAGCGAGGCGAGCTCCTGTCGCTTTTTAGCGTTTCGCGCTCTCAAAAACATTTTTGGATATGAATGTGCTTGTGTCTGTCACTTGCTCATGTTGGATCTAAATATGAGTCAATTAGATGACAGTGTTTGGTTTCCGTGCTTCTAAGTACACTCCTATATATCTGTTACTTTTCTTGGTGGTGGGAAGGAGTTTCTTCTTGAAGCCATCAGTTACCAGTGATATCTATATTGTGCTAAAAGTTTGTGTATTTGAGTATGTATGCAGGTCTACACATTTTTGACAACAACATTGGACACGCTGGTGCTGCTGCCCAGTTTTATAAAATTCTTTCGACAAGCGAAGAATCATTCATTCTCGCCAGGCAACATTACAGTCGTTTTTCTAGCCTTTGGTAAGCAGTCTCTACTATCTTAATGACTTAGTCTTGATTGTTATGATTTTCTTGTTTCTTACAGGTTTGACCTTGATGCAGTTCTGAATCTAGCCTTTTCACTCAGTCTTCTTTGTTTTGTAATTATGCATGCATCTCTGCTCTCAAGCAACACCACTTCAGTGGAGGTATGTCAAACCTTGGTATTTTTCATTATATGTCAATTTTAATGCTTCTCCTTCAACTCTGGGAATGAAATTGACAAGAGATGGATAGGAAAAAAGATAATATGTTTCTTTTCATTGTAACCTTATTGTTGTCTCGTCTGTCTATGTTATAGGTTTATGAGAAGAAAAAAACTGTGCGCTGGAAGTATGACCTTGGCTGGAAAAGGAATTTTGAACAGGTGATATGTATAACCCGCTCTTCTATTTTTGTTTTAATAAAGCATTTTTTAGCTTCTAAGCAACCAGTCATAAGGAGATGCAAATTTTTTAAACCGAAAGATACTTGTTTCTCTGACAGCAGGAATTATACAGAGGGCGACCGGAAAGGGGGAAAGGTTAAATGATTTTTAAGACCTTGAATTTTAATTTCTTCAATCATGACAGTCAATTATAGTATTTATACGAGAGTCCTGTTATTAAGTGAGTATAATTTTATTCCTACACTCAATGATATTTGTTGGTTATAGGTGTAGTTGAACTGTTTAGGCAATTGCTGAGAGTGCCTTGGTTTGACCAATATTGTTTTCTAATGGTTGATTTTTAAAAGGTTTTTGGCGCTAATAAGGCATTATGGTTTTTGCCAATGTTCTCGAAGAAAGATTTGGAGAACATACCGGCACTCTATGGAGTGGAATTCCCGACACGTTCAGACACTGAAGAATGAGTTCTTATACAAGGACGTACATAGAACTTTCAACAAACAGATGTTAGGAGTAGGCAGTTTCCTAGTACCATCAATTCATTGATTGATAATTTCAAATTCTCATTAGGAGCTTGTGGATTATACTTGTCTATGTTAATATGTACTCCCTCTGTTACAATTTATGTGAACCTGTTTGACCGGACACGGAGTTTAAGAAAAAATGAAGACTTTTGTAATTTGTAGTCCTAAACAACTCAAAAAGGGGTCCACACAGATATTGTGTGGTTATAAAAGCTTCTCACTAAGGGTAGAATTGAGAATTTAAGCTAAATTGTTTCCAAATTTAAAAAGGGGTCATTCTTTTTGGAACAAACCAAAAAGGAAATAGGTTCACATAAACTAGAACAGAAGGAGTAATAATCAATGTGGAAAAACTTACGTCGGTTTATGCGGTGCGGGTTGAAAATTTTGGGGGTTAAAGCTCAACAGCTCCCGTCTCATTTGCCATCCCTAATTTCATCTGGTTACTACCTTTCAAAGCTTGATAGATTTACTGAATAGTTTTTTCATAATTGCCTTTGCTCTTTTCTTTTATGTAGGATTTATATATGAGAAGGGTAATATGATAGATGATTTGCTAGATATTATACAAATTTGAACTCATTATTTAAGTCCAAATTCAACGAGCCATCTATCATTTGTGCTTCCCATAAATTAAGGTAATTAAGTGAACTATTCATTATTCAAGTCGTGGAAGGGAGTCGTCATATGATAATTATGAAGCGTCGATAGCAAATGCTTTGATCACGCTATTTTTTGAAGTATGTTGGCTACTTTATCATGAATTTTTTGACATTTTCACCTCTAGCTAGAAACTGCAATATTCAAGTATCTAACTCTTTGAACAATCATCCTATTTATACTATAACTTTTGATGTTAAACTTTTATGTTTGTTAGACTTAAAATTATTTTGAATTGTTTATTGAATGTTGTGGCTGATGGGTACTCGTACTTGTTGTGCCTTATGCTGCTTATTTTGGCAGAGTCCGAAACCAAAATGTGGTTCTTTTGTACAAGTAGCACCTTAATAGATGTAAAAAAAAAATGACATTTTTATATATAGCGCCCAAATACCCGGCGNGGGCGCTATACATTAACGTTAATTGTGCCGTTAATGTATAGCGCCCAGTATTTGGGCGCTATACATAGAAAGCTGACACTAACAGGTATAGCGCCCAAATACCCGGCGCTATACCCTTTTTTTTTAAAAACGAGCGTTCTTCTTCAAGACGACCATTCTGCTTCTTCTTCCTCAATATTTTATATCTTCTTCTTGGTCCCCCACTCCCATACCCGCTGCACCACTATTTTTTTAAAAAAAATAAAAATTTGGGTCCCCCGTCACATAAAAGGTGAAGAACGTAGGTCCCACATTCGAGTAAAGCTTCATATTATTGTTGATTTACACTTTCGGAGTCAAAATTTCAATCTATTTGCTTTGCGAAAATTCTAAATCGAGGTATTTCAGTTTATTTTAAGTTGAAACTTTTATAATAATGCATATTATTTGATTTGTATGTGTTCTATTTCGGTTTGTGATTTTTTTTTGGAAACTAGTATGTTAAATTTATCCGAATTTAATATTAGTATTTTATAAAAAAATATAAATTTGTCAAATAATTTATCTGTTAATATCCTGATTTATATATATGTGTTTTCATGTCGTTTTGTGTTTTATTTGCAATTAAATTTATTTGTTGCTTATGTTTAGTTTAGATTATTTTTTAGCATAGTAAAATCTAGGCCTTTTTAGCGTAGTAAAATGTAGACCTTTTTAGCGTAGTAAAATTTAGAGCCTTATAGCGTAGTAATGTGTAGTATTTTAGCTTNTTTTTTGCATAACGCTAAAAATTGTGTATCTCAAAAAATTAATATTTAGTATACAGAACAAAATATAATTAATGTTGTTTTAATTTACAGTTGACGACATGGACGCGACTATACATCCCGGCCCTCGGACGTTGGATATATTAGCCCTACAGCCTCAGCATAGATCCGAGTATATATGGGACGGACAGTTGCTTACGCAGACTTTCCGGGCCAGGAGAGTGGATCTATTGTGAGACTTTTTGAGTCGTAGAGTTCTACATCCCCGCGTGGTCCATTACCTGGAGGAGATGAGATTATATACGATTATTAGGATTGGCCGGATACAGCTCGACTGGGCTCTGATCACGGCCTTGATTGAGCAGTGGCGACCGGAGATGCACACTTTCCATCTGCCCATCGGCAATGCCACCATCACACTCTAGGACGCTGAGATTTTATATGGCCTGTCCGCTGATGGCTGCCAGTTTTACTGCCTGCGACCATGAGATATTATTCGCGGCAGTCTTATTAGGATATGTTGCACATGCTCACAGGTTTCAGGCCGGAGGACGAGACTGTAGCGTCTGGATCCAGTCGTATGCAGTTGATCCCCATTAGAGACCACCTGGAGCATATCCACCATACTATCACCAACGAGTCAGCGGAGGTGGATGTACAGTGATATACGAGGCTGATGTTGCTCCTTCTACTTGGGGGGTCTTGTTCCCGAACACTTCGGGGAACCTAGTGAGCCTCCGTTTTCTGCATCATATTGGCCGGTTCGAGGATACAGCCATCTACAGCTGGGGTGGTGCTGTCATTTCATATTTGTACAGGCAGATGTGCCGGGCTTGTATCGGCACACAGAGAGACGTTGGTGGCTTTCTGCCGCTTCTACAGGTGACAACATATTCAAATAATATGTCCATTAATTACAATTCTACCTAGTTATAGTTAATCTTATACTTTACGTCAACTTTGTATGTTAGGTTTGGGCTTGAGAGCGATTTCTGCAGTTTCAGCCACCTCTACCACAGCTACCGGCGTTATGCGTCGTACTCTTGCACGAGAGTATGATGCCCATCATAATTTCCCCCTCTGTAGGGATGTGTTGGATCTGTTGGAGGACGCACATGTGAATATCTAACTAAACTTACCTATTATAGATTAACTTAGTGTTGCGCATACTAACGGTTTGTGTTCTTATTTGATAGTTCATCTGGACGTCGTACATCGATGAGGTGATAAGTACCCTGCCAGCGTATTGCATGTTCGGCCGACATATTTGGAGGGCTTCTATCCCGCTCATATGCCTCGATATTATCGAGCATCATGCCTCCGAGCGGGTATTTCGTCAGTTTGGCTTGCCCCAGCCTATACCGAGTCCGCCTGCATGGCTTGCTTTACATTATGAGAGGGATGATCGGTTCAGGGTGGACGACATATTTATGGCATGGCTTGACGAGCAGTTGGGTACTTGGGACAGGCGAGGGGACTTGACCCCACC